GATGACGCTTGGCCTACACATAAAAGAAGAGAGACTTTCAATATAAACTCTGGACTGCTTGAGCATTGGAAGGAGCAATTGCTTGATAACACTAAACGCATCAAGAAAACGTCGCGATGAACGGAGAGGTTTGGCGAGTCTACCATCTGGCGAGAGAGCGGAGCTACATCCCCAATGTTGAAGCTCTCTCGCAAATTGGCCCATGCCCATCCATCGCAAGCACTAGGTGGGGGTGCCCCTGTGACGAACGCTCCGCGCCTTGAGCATGAGATCGGGCGGAGCAGAGCCAACTGGGACCCGTCGCGGGTCGACTCAGGCTCGAAAGTCTAACAGGGTACGGCCCTACAACGGGTCCTCGCGATAGGCTTCCACCAAAGACTGAGTTACATTGTCCGCAAGCCCTAATTCAGTGACCAGCGCACCGAGGAGATCTGGCCTACACGACAACGCATTAGCAACCTTGTTGCACTCCTCCTTAATGTATTGGGGTTCAAAGTCATATTGTGGCCGGTTTGAAAAAGATTCATGCGCGCGGAGCAAATTTCACGCTGGTTTGAAAAAATTGTGGCCGAGTGGACGCGGTAATTCGCGCTAATGAGTTAGTGGTAACTGGTCAGCGCTTGTTGCTAGTGCTATATGTTTGTCTGCAATAATATGTTTTTGGATATGTGAGGATTATCTGACAAAGTGCCACCTTTGGCCTTAGGCATGTTTGGTGTTTGCTGTTTTAAATCATCTTGCAATTGTGGGGAAACATCTTCTGCGCCAGGATTTCTCTCTGGTATCTCTACCCTATCGACACTACTCTTTAAAAACTTTTCGGCTGCAGGGCTGCTTCGTTGGCGCAGGTCGCTTGGACGCATGTGGTTTTTTTCCCGCCTCATGAGTGGAGACGTAGGATAAGCATATGGAGATCAATCTTTGTCCACGGTTGAGGGCGCAACTGGCTCACTATGCTGTCAGACGGGTTGTTCTTTTTTTTGGGAAAGCGTGTTCGCATCAGGATTCCTCTCCTTGGATCTGTGGCATGGTAGATTTCAGAGGCAAATCTGTTGAGCTTCTGAAGCCGCCCTCTCGAAAAGAAAAAAGAAAATGGGCCTCGCCGCAATACTCCATGGATGTGATGAACACAAAAATATGTTTGGTGTATCATTCCATATTGTAGGGAGACGCATTTGGTGAGTGTGCTGAGGCACACGGACGCCGGCCTGTGGCTGAATGGTACAGGTAAGTTGCTGATAAGGAGACGTCTCCTGGAGTCCCGGGCCGGTTGAATTGGACTTTGAATTACCTGGGGCTGTTCAGTTTGTTTATGATAACTCAAGCCGCCGTCCTTCAAAAAACGAGGGGCAAAAACGAGAAAGCGGCAACACGTTGGGGCATGTACGTAAGCACGCCCAAAAAGGGAGGGGCCAAAGCAATTAAAAAAGATGAACCGGGCAACGAGATGTGAACAAGTGCGGGGAAGAAATAGCCAAGCACGCAGCTGCTCCCCACACCACACTCGCACACCCTTGGACATGCACAAACACATACATACACACGAGCGCACAGGGAAGAAATAGCCATGTGCGCAGCTGCTCCCCACACCACACTCACACACCCTTGGACATGCACAAACACATACACACCATACTTGCATGTCGTGCGGGCGGTTCCCTATGTGTGGCGCACGCGCCCAACCGATCTCGTGCGGCACACGACGTGTGTGGGAAACGACCCGTCACCGCCCTCAGAAAAAAAAAAAGGCCGGGTTCGAAACGGTGCGTTTGAGGCCCCCCGCCAAAATTATAAGGGAGATGAAAAAAATATTTACAGGAGTACTGGCTCAGCTTGCTCCTCCTGCCCTGCGTCATCCGCCATGTCTCCTCCTCCCTTCTCCTTTTCGTCTCCTCCTCCTCCTCCTCTTGCCCTTCCTCGTCCTCCTTGTCTCCTCGTCCACCTCGTATTTCCTCATCTTCCATGCCTCCTCGTCTCATTCCCTTCCTTGTGTCCTTCCCTTCCTTGTGTCCTTCCCTTCCTTGCCGTCCATGTCTCCTACTCCTCCCACTCGTCCTCCTCCTGCCCTTCCTCTTTTCCCTCCGTTCATCTCTTCTCCTCCCCCATCTCGACGACTCCTCGTCGTCCTCGCTATCCTCGTCGTCCATCCTGCTCCTTCCATATCCCCCTCTCCTCGCCATATCCCCATCTTCCGGTCATACAACCCCCCGTTCCCCCTCCCAAAAAAAGATAAAATAATAATAATAAAAATAAAAAACCTGCACGATTCTGCASAGGCACCCCCGACACTGAACTCCGCACGGAACTCCACACGAATGTGCGGCTTGTGCGGTTGCAAGTATGATACACACACATGTGSGCACATCAGGATTGCCTCCAGGGTGCACATCTTCGGTAGAGTCACAAGCAATCCCACAAGCATGCGAGTACACAAGCAATCCCGCAAGGCCGCAAGTACGCACACGAAAAGCAGGGAGAGAGAGATGCCAGTCGTTTCGCTGCATGCAAACGCTGCTGAAGGAGGAGGGCGGGGGAGAGAGAGAGAGAGAGAGAGAGAGAGAGAG